TTCTGTCGAAAAGTATCAGGGCTCAAAGCGATTGGACCAATGGTTTCTGAGATATACTTAGGTGTATGATCTTACAAATTTAACAAATGTCGCTGTATCTTACAAACCGTTGGTCCAATCGCTTTTTCACCTAACAGTTTTCGATAGAACTCGTCGAGAACTATAAGAAACGCTACTCAGAACTACTCGGTACTCTCAACAAATTTTCCGACGTGTGACTTGGAAAAAAATTTGAAGTCAAAATTTTTTGGGAGTACCGAGTAGTTCTGATCGGAGTTCTGGACAGTTCTCAGCGAGTTCTGTCGAAAAGTATCAGGGCTCAAAGCGATTCGACCAATGGTTTCTGAGATATACTTAGGTGTATGATCTTACAAATTTAACAAATGTCGCTGTATCTTACAAACCGTTGGTCCAATCTCTTTTTCACCTAACAGTTTTCGATAGAACTCGTCGAGAACTATAAGAAACGCTACTCAGAACTACTCGTTACTCTCAAAAAATTTTCCGAGTGGGACTTGGAAAAAAATTTGAAGTCAAAATTTTTTGGGAGTACCGAGTAGTTCTGATCGGAGTTCTGGACAGTTCTCAGCGAGTTCTGTCGAAAAGTATCAGGGTTCAAAGCGATTGGACCAACGGTTTCCGAGATATACTCTAAAAATTGTTGATCTTCTGACAAATGTCGCTGTATCTTGCAAACCGTTGGTCCAATCGCTTTTCCACCTTACAGTTGTCGATAGAACTCGTCGTGTACTATAAGAAACGCAACTCAGAACTACTCGGTACTCTCAAAAAAATTTTCAAAGATTTCTACTATTTTTTTAAAACTTTATTATTCTTCAAAAATGTTTTTTATGTATCAAGAACTCTAGGTATTCGCAAAATAGTTCTGTTAAGCTGATCAGAACTATGCGACCTTGAATTTCGTTAAAAAGTTAGCACTCCATTTTTTTAAAATTATTAAAAAATGATTATTAAGCGCATATGTCATTAAAAATCACAGAGAACTCTTCGTATCGTCAAAAAGAAGCAGGAATTATCATCAGAACTATTGTATCTAAAAATTAATTTTTCAAAAATTTTTAATTTTTTTTTTATTATTCGATAATTTTTTTTACATATCAGGAACTCTAGGCAATCGCAAATTGAAGTTATTAAGCCGCTCAGAACTATTCCACCTTGAAATTCGATAAAAAGTTAGCACCCCATTTTTAAAAAATGTAAAAAAAATGTTTATTGAGCGGAACTCTTGTTATTAACTATAGGGAACTCTTCGTCTCGTCATAAGGAAGTGGGAACTCTAATCAGAATTCCTGAGTACTATAGTTGGGGTGCTAACTTAACATACCCATGCAAAACACACAGAAATGATAAAGAAATTATAAACAATTATAAACATAAACAGACGTTTCAACCTCGCTCGGGGGTCATTCTCAATGTTATAATAAAAACTAAGCAGATTAAGGATTATCAAACTGAGCTCCAAAACTGGAATAAATTATTTCAAAGTACGTTTCTCAAAGCATGTTTCTTGTATTACATTATCCAAACGTTACATAAAACCGTTGCCAATTAAAAAATTATTAGAAGTTGAAATAACCATTTTAATTTTCTTTTTTAAAAAAATTGTCTTTATATTTACTAATTTACAAAACTCTCAGAGCACTGCGAACAAAGAAAAAAAATTATATAATTATATACATAAAATTGTACGTGCGCGATAATTTATATTAAAAATACAAAGGATTATTTCGCGTTTCAAAATATATTAGTGGTTTAAACAATGCTTTTGTCGCGTTATGGGAGAACGCCGACAATGAGAGGATTGATGGTTCCCGCCGGGTAGACACAATTTGCATTTTTGTTCCCGGTTTCGCCGCGCCTTCATCTTCGTATCCAAATATCATGGAGCTTCGTGGAGCGTTTTTGATGCAATTCGCGCGAAACAATACCAGCGTAGCTAAAGACGCAGCTCGGAAAATTGCGGAATAGAATGAAGAGTAGGCTACCGTTCCTCATTTTCCGATATCATCCCTCCTCGTCTCTTCAGAATATTGCTTTTCGTTTTTTCTCCTCGATTAAAGTAGTTGCAAAACCGACGTCCCTATCATTCTGGGATGCATTTTGTCTTTCTACCGTGGCTAAAGTTATTTTTTCAACGGCATAATATTGGAAACGTTCGTTACAGCGTAATTAAAACTTGGATAAAGCGGTAAATTTTACTTAAGAAAGTCATTCACAATTATAGAAGTGGATTTTATTTAAAAATTGAGCACAATCTGAATTCATAACAATCCACAGCGACAAATCGGGGATTTTCCGAGTGAACCCTGTTATTATGCAAGTTTGGATGATTCCAATTTTGTTGTAATTTACACAATTTCTGATTATTTGACGTAACAAATATTTAAATTATTTTTTTTTTCATTTTATCTCATATTTATCAGATTGTGAAAAAAGATTTTTCTGGCTGATTCAATTTCCTTGACAGTTTGTAAACCGAGTTTGCATCGAACGCTTTATTCATTTACTACATCCTCTTGAAAGTGAATAGGATTACAACGGCGGATGAAATTACATTGAAGCACGGTAATGACTCTTCATTTCCTAGTGTCTCTTTGTTTCTGGCACAGGATTATGAGGAACGTTACATTTTTCACTCTGTTTGGTTTTTGTTCCGTGCTGCAAACAACGAACGAAATAAGTTTGACTGCGTGGTTGTCGCATGGACCATCAGACATTCGATCATCCGGAAAAAGCGAAAGGTGAGAAGATTTATCTCAAATATGCTAAATGAGATGCATCTAGTAAAGCGTGCTCTTTTGTGCAACTGCATTTTAATTGTATTTAATTCTATGATAACATGAACGTTCTGTAATTTTGCCGGTAAAATGATTGTAGGGAAAGAATTTATTTTTATTATTACGCGGACTATTCTATTTTATCGTATATTCGGAACATCATTCGTTCGTTACGTATTACAGAGGTATATTTTTTGCACCGAAAAGATGCAGGCGCATTTGATTTATTCTTTCGCGCTACAACCGGCGGAATTTTCACGCTCTGAGATAAACTAGTAACGTTATACGAACGCGTATCGATCCGCCTCCCGCTACAATGCATAAAAAGGTACGTCGTCGCAGTCTGTCTCATGCATCATATGCGTGCCTGCAGCTTTAGATGTCGATACGTTTTCATGTTTCGTTTCAAATCCTTCTATTCATTCGAGAGCGGATGGAAATGTGGAAGCGAGTCGCATCTCGTTTTCCGACTTTTTATTTGATACAGAGTATTCACCGAAATATATGAGATTTAGCAGTAAAACAGAATGTATTATTGCTTAACGAATCTCGCGATTCTGTTCCGTAATAATATAATTACGATATTGTTTAGCATTGGAAATTAACTTAACGTGCTTAATGAATAAAATGTAAATACGTTGTAAGGGATCTGTTTTCTTAATTCACGTGAATTTAATGAAATTTGAATCTGAAGCTTAATTATCAAGGTGTTATAAAAACGTTATAAATTTTGTAATTATCTTAATACTATTTCGTTAAAGTTATAAAATTGCATCGGTCGTATGGCGCGCTCATTCAATAATTGTATTGCTACATATCGAAAATTGAGAAGCAAAAAGTGATGCTATTCAATTAATGTTTCATTAAGAGGAAATATTAACTTTATATTTGTTGAAAAATATATGATTTTGTCATTGATTCTTATACTTTGTCGTCATGTCGGTATTAGCGCGACAAATACAGTAGTTATTTTTTTTAACAAATACTAGAATCTTTTTAAGACAAATACAGTATAGTTATTTTTTTTAGAAACAAGATAACAGAGAGATTGCAATCATTTTATGATTATCTGGTTAACACAATTTTATTATTATATAACAAATGAACGATGAAACATTTCCTTTAACGTGAACGGACGTTGGTTGATAAGCCGTTCCTCTTCGATTTTATACCTCCTTCGATGATTTGACAGGTGAAAACGAGAGTCCTAGGCGAGAGTAGACAATCAGCTTATTTCAAGCTCACTGCGTAAATTTCATTTTATTCCAATACTACAACCTAAGAATGAAACCTAGAGAGTCTTGACGTTCCCTTGTTTTCTTTTTGAACATTTCTTTGTTCGCTAAGCTAAGTAAAGTACCTACAGGTTGCCCGCTTTCAATTTTTCCACTCGCAATATATTACGTGGAAGTGAAATATCTCGAAAAATATAATTCAGTTGCATTATCACTCAGTATCAGAATTTCTTTTGATGTCTGTAAATTGCAGCACTAAATACATTTAAAAGATGTCGTTTAGTATCAGAATAAGTAATAGGAAAGAGAAATGATACTCAGTTTGTGCCTAATAGGATGCTATAATTATAGCTCTCGAACTCGCAATGCACTCTTGTATAAGCACCTTCATGATTTCTTGGATACTGAGTGCAGCAGCACGTAATTCTTCAACGCGTAATGAGATTAAATGTCTGACGTCAAGATAAAAATGCCGATCATAAAACAGTTTCATTTCCTTCCACCTTTCTCTCTGGACACATAAATTATTCCTTTTGAAAATTCTTCGCGATATTTATAAAATAATTCTCATGAATAAAAATTATTGAACGGATATCGAATTTCGAGATAATGGAGTGACCTCGCTTTGTAACTGCGTATCACCGAAGCGAAAAAGAATAATAATCTATTTCTGTAAAGATAAATCTCATATCGGCGCGCAACGTGAAATTTTCTGCTCAGCGACGGATATCTTTATTTATTACGACGCAATTTAGCATTGTTCACATGGCAAATAGGCTCGAAAGCGTTAAGAACTTCGAGAATTACATGCCTCATTTACCGTGATCAGCTTTAAAAGTTACGCGTCTGGCATCGAGCTGACTCATTTGCGCAATTGCACTTATCGTGAATGCGAGGTAGTGGAGGTAGCGCGTCTCGTAAAGCATAATGCGGGGTGCTTGCGAGGCGCTCTTTAGAAATCGGCTAAATGACGCGACGAGGAAAGTGCATTTTTGCCTTCCATAATATTCATACACTACGGCGACGTTGTTCCGAGAGCTTGCCGAGAATATCGCGTGCATCTCGCGTGGAAAGCGTTTGGAATTCTGGACAGCAAGAGAGTGCCGGTGCACAACCTCGTATCGCCCGGCAGATACATAAAACCTGGCGAGATTGTGGTAGCTCTCCACGTAGCGCGGCCGTTGCGTCTCTTTTGTCGCGCACGGTTACTCCGAATTTTTTCGCGAACAAAAGTCTCCTGATATAAATTCATGTTGTGCTTTTCGAAATTACAAGCAATACGGAGGGAAAGAGGGAAACTGCTACCAGGTCATTCTCTGCAGGGCATTTTGTCTCGTTAATGTTGGGATGAGTTACGCTACGCAATTCCGAGGTGAATCTCTGAGGGGTTTCTCCATTTCAGTTATCTCAATCAGCAACAGATTAGATCATACCATTTTTATTGTGCAATACGAGCCGAACCGAGACTTGTTAAGTGAAAAGAGGTCTAGTTTTCTCTTCTCGTTGATGGACCAGCTTGTATAGAATATACACGAATCCGCGCGGTGGATACTGAATTATTCGATCGATTTGCTTACGAATGTTTCATGGAAGCTCCCGATAGTTTTTGCACGTTCGAGTTCAGCTGGCTATTACTTATATCTGTGATGCGCTTTAAACTCCATAACATAAAATATAACTCTGTTGTTTATGGTTTAAAGGAAATGTTCGACATCTGCGATGTCTTGCATAATAATTTTATAGTAGTTATTTCTGAAGTCATCTACTTTCCACATAACGAGCTTTAAATCAAGTTTTAGGCTATTTGATATTCTATGGCTGTGCGGCAAGTCGGAATTCGAAACCGGATGAGGTTTAATTTAATATTTATTTTACGAAGATTGATTTCAAATGTATTAAGAATTTATTTACGCTTTTCTTGCAGCTCGTCGACTGAACGAGTACATCCGTCACTACGAAACGCTGTCATATCCTGTCGAGGAGGTCCATCGAAGTCACCTGAGGGCGAAGAGGTCAATCAACCGCGACAGTACCGTGACGTTAAAGTTTCGCGCGCACGGCAAGGACTTCCACATCCGATTAAAGCGGGATTTGACCACTTTTAGCAACAATCTAATTATTGAAGGATCTACAGGGGAGAGACAGTACAACTCTGACATCTCTCATGTTTATCAAGGCAACCTAGTTGGTATGTTTTACACTATTTACATGATATATGTTTACGGGATATTTTCGATAAACTGCGTTTTTTCCTTTAATTATTTATTAAATTTATATCTATTTCTAAATATAATTAAGGTAATTAGAGTGTAATAAAACATAATTCGAAGTTTAATATATAAATAACACAATTCGGATAGTGTTACGAATATTACGAAATTACATAATTCCGTTCTCTTATTCGATTATATATGAAGCTTTCAAGAACGTGCTTGATTTGATATTATTATTTTAATGAAATAGAATCAAGATTGACCGCTTACAATTTCTATTGATATTTCTGTAAATTTAACATTGCGATTTTATTTTTGTTTGACCTTTCGAAATAACTTGTATGCGACCGTTCGAACATCACATTATATTCGTCATCGATCGTGCTAGAATTGTACATTACCTACGACTAATTTATTTGTTTTTCTCCTATTCAATTATTTTTTACAATATATTTCTCAACATGATATTTCCCAGCTGTTTCTATAATATCTGTCGTTAGAACATATTCAGATATACTTCGTTTATATACTATAATGCAGTAGAGATACCAGAGATCAGTAACTTGAACAGCATGAGTATACCTGCATTGACGTACACACAATACAACACATACTTTTCCAAATATAGACTTGTAGATTATGACATCAAGTCTGCAATCTTCTCGGTGCCCTATATATTCGCATAAATGATGTTCGCAATGTAAAGTTACACGAAATCGATCGATAGCGATCGTTCGAGCTTTCTGCTCGCGAGAGGGTCACGTACACATAAAATTGTATGAGTTTCTGTGTTTATACTCGTAGTCGCAACATCTTCTGAAAATATTTATTGCGGGAGAAATAGAGACGTTTGTTTCTGTAAAAGTAATAAAGCGATTGCATGCACGCCAAAGGGAAGTAAAGGCTGAAAGAATTCGAAGTCGTAAATAAATATCGAAACACTGATTTTATAAATTATAAATTTTAACTTGTAAATATTTATTTGTGACTACAGCATATATAATATTGTATCATTAATTTTGTTATAGTATAGAAAAAAAATGAAAATATAGTAGGATTACAAGAGGATACAACAGAGGAAACTTTTTTCCATTGGAATATAAATTGAATAACAGGGTGTTTACTGTCCGGAAAAAACCTAGAAAACCTAGAAAACCTGGAATTTTAGGAGATTTCTTTTTTATCCTTAAAAATATATTAGAGACTTTCATGGAATTTTATCGGCACGCAGGGAAATTTTTGAAATTTTACTTTTAAATTTAAATTCTATCTGAAAACCTTTTGTTTCTTTGATTTTTTTTTTGACAATGCAAAATATAGATAATTAGTAATAAATATATCATATACATCCGTGTTTATTTACATACATTTTTGTGTATTCCGCGAGCTTTTATAAAAAGAATTAGAATAATAGTAGAAGACATTCAGTAGAAGAGAGTAGCTTACTGATACTGTATTGCAATAATCTCTATAGATTTTGCAACTCCAAAATTATACAAAACAATAAATATAGTCTCGTGGAATTTTTAATGTACAGTTTATTTATGTTACTTGCATTTTAATTTATGTTAAAGTTGCATTAAACTATTTTCTAATTTTGCTTGAAATTTGAGTAAAAATATATTTTTTTTTTTTTTTAAATATCTAGAAAATCCGGAAATTCTCAAGGATTTTTACAATATTTCAATAAACGCCTTATATAATATTGGAATTACTTAGCAAATTATCGATTTTGACGGATTAAGCGATATTATTTTTATGTCAAACGAAAATTAACTTTAACAAAGTTTTGACATGACACTTAGAGTTTCTAAGATATTTATTATTCTAAAGTTGCAATGAAAAATGAAATCTATTTAAATATATCTCGGCTGGAGGAAAGCCGTCTTCAAATCCATCTCAGAATATGTTACTGAAATTTAACGTTATCCTTATAAGATATTCTGCATATTCAAAAAGAATTTTCGTCAAAATAAACTAAATTTAACAGAAGTAGAGTGCTTTCAACTGTACGAACAAAGAATCATACTTAAATTTGTAACCGCGACACAGTGGTTTGTCCGACCTCCACGTTTGTTTCACCGTCAATATGCGTTCCGGTTGCAATCTACAGAATACATCCTCGACGAGGTGGTACCATTTCTTTGTACTACTTCTGCGACATTTCCCGGTGCCAGGTGTGACACGCAAAAGTGCGTGTCAGCATGGATACCAGGTGGGACTTTTATTTTCATTCTAATGATGTATGGGAGTTCAGCAAGCAATGTTTCGGATTATGAATCAAATGGAAACGGTTTTCCGCAATCTGTCCCGGTTTCCTTTGGATAATGTTACAAAAGTTATATTTTTATGTAGAGATTGAAGAAATTCTGACTCGTCTCTCTCGATTTAGCACTTTGTCACTGTTATTAACAGTAAATTGTTCGAAATACGTTTGTTAAGTCTGTGAAAAGCTTTGTGATTAAACGAAAGAAATTAATCAAATATATTTTACATACTTCTTCGGAAATTGAAAGAAAAATGTAGTTTGTACTTTAATTTGAATTGAAAAAAACTTTGCAAATATTTATTTGAAAAATCTTTTTTTCTTCTCTTTTTTGCGAAAAACATATTATATATGATAAACTATACACTTTAACAAATACTTGATTTAATATTTTTGTACATCTAAAAATTTAAAGAAAATGTCAGTACTAGAAAATATGTGTATACACGCGAAGAACTTTAAAGTGACATTAGAGACTATTTGAAATGTTTTCCGTATCGGAAGTGAAAGATTCTGTTTGTTCTTGCATCAAAAGGAATTTTGAATTGTGATAAGCTCGACTGTGCGGGCGACTTCACTTTCCTACGTTCTATTATCTAAACAGAAAAAGGATATGCACAAAACGCTTCCTAAATATTCTCTCTGTTATTGTTGTCTACTCGCTATCTGTAATACAGTATGTTGAGGTTTGTTCTACGATTTTAATGATTCAATGTTTACCATGTCTTCATGTTAGACGTGTCAGTCAAAAAATGTGTTGTAAAATATTTTTTAAGTATAATACGTGACGGAGATACGATTTTCTTGGAATCAAATATATTTTTGTTGACAAACGTAGTTCCTTTACATAAACAAAAATAAAATATTCATTGGACTTTTTATTGAAGAAATTCTGAAATCGGATGACGTAACTGTGGAATCTGAATTTTCAAATTTTTTAGATGATTAACAAAAATAAGACATTCCTTTTTTCCGTTATATTACTTCCTTTGGAATATAAACTTCGCATTATTATCATTTATATTATTATCATTTATTTTATGGAATTTTAAATCTTTTCATGACCTATTTGTTAAACAATTTGTATTGCTGAACCTATTTATTTTTAATCTTATTATTGTTTCATTGCTGAACATTTTAATGGAACTGCAATGGAATAGATTGAAGAAGATGATAATAAATAAATTCAATACACATATGTTTCGCTGATCATAAAAACATTAATAGGCTACACATATTAAAGGATTAATTAAAAAGAAAAGTAAATATTATTACGTATCAAAGTGCAGGATCAACATTTATAAGTTATAAGGAAGTTAGGAAATATTATAAAAGATTTTGATTGGAAATTATTAGGTAAATTGACTGGTACAAGCAAATAACAGAATCTTTTTTGTTATTTTTAAATGAATGTTAATAGATATTTTATAATAAAAATAAAACCATTTAAATCGAATTAAATTAAATTTATATAGTTTTTATTATTGAACCATAAGTATTAAGCATGCACACAGTAATTGCTACAGAATTTTTAAATTCTAAATGAGAAAATTGGCACAGACGATCTGTATATGAAATATTCCATTACTACAGAGAACGCCAAATTTACATATTTATACGTTCTTCAACGCTATAATTAAATCAAGTTTCTATTTTAGTCTGTTTAATTTAAAAAATTTTTTATCCTCGTGGAGAAAGATGAAAATATACGCGCTATTAATTTTCCTACGTGCATCTCGGTTAAACGTATAAATTAGATAGCTAGACAGCAAGAGCAAGTTGCTTGTGTAAGCCGGCAGTTTCTGGTACAGAAAGTTTTGCCAAGAGGCAAAGTTTATACCATCGATATTTTTTCCAAGCAAAGCGAGAGTCAGTCACATACGTTTGATCATGGTTTCTTACATGTGCGTATTTATTCAAATATACATGTTATTTTTATTTTCTTTCTTTTTAATTGTCAAAGAGGAAGAAAAATTTAAAAAATGAGATTTTTTTTTCTATAATCTCATTTTAATGTCTTTTTGGCAAATATGTACTAATTAATAGTATGTACTAATAATACAAAGTGTCTGTAATAATTATATACATGTTTTGTATTTAAAGATTAACACGTAATTTTTTAAAGATCCATAACATTAAATATAGAAATCTATATTTTGCTACAAATATCTTAATTCGCTGTACTTTAAATCAAATAAAAATGTGCTCTTAAAAATTTATCGCCACGATTAATATGATAAAACTTTCTGGATATTCTCGTCACGCATCTGATCAGGAATATATCTTTCAGGCGAACCTGGTAGCCACGTGTTCGGAAGTGTCAGTGATGGAGTCTTTCACGGGAAGATAGTATCACCGAAAAGTGGTGCGTGGTACGTGGAAAAGGCACATTACTATTTCCCACCACATGAGATAAACGAGACATTACATTCTGTGATCTATCATGAAAATGATGTCGGTGATCCGTACGTGGATGTTCGACAAGGTAAGATGCAAAAAAACATCTCTTTTTCCTATCGATATTATCTCTTCAGGCGCACATTACTGCTCATGCATTAATTTGCGAATATTATGATTTATTTAACAGGAAAACGACTTTTAGCTTCAAGCAATTTATTATAAATTTTGAATATTTAAATATTCAAACATTATCCGTTGCTCTTTTATCGCTGGTTTATTTTCTATTTTCAACAATATATTTTCCAAGAATGTATTTGCATTACAAAATATTTAATTTAATGAAGCGAAAAATTAGTTAAATGCGAAACTCTTTAACAAAAAAAAAAACGGGATATTTTAATCTTTATATAATATATATTTTTTAATCTAAAAAAAAAATATCGGAGTATATTTTTTTATATAAGAACAAAAAGAACAATTTTGCTGAAGTATTTAAAAATTCAGCTAAATACAGATCTGAAAATAATCTCTTATCAAAATAATTACGTAAGATTCTCGAATATGATGAGCAATCGCAAAAAAATATTAACATTTTAATAACTAGTTTGAGTATTCTATATAATTATTTTATAGATTGATTCATAAGGACTCTTATTGTTCAAATGAAATTAAGTGAAAGAAGGGAAATTAAGTGAAGTAGGAGTCAAACGCAGTAATCGTTGCGTGAAATAAGATCTGTGTATAGCTAAATTTTGAAGTACAATACTTATTTTATTACTGTATCACATGACTTTTGTGAAATTATACCATGGTTTATCAGTACTTTTACAATTTGTCGAAAAAATTTGCAATGTAAATTAATATTGCTTTTCACACTTTAGAAGCTTTTGATTAGCTTATATATATTATTTGTACTTATATTTTGTAAAGTTACGAATGATAACACAACTGTGCGTTGAACTCATGAAAGTTTATTTAATATCTGATTGAAACAACTTATATGATTTCGAACAAAGTGGCGAGCTTCATTATGCACACGAAGAAGCAGCGTGTACCTAATATGTGTTCGAAGAAAATGATAAATTTAGATTGGAAACGATTTAGTTAACTACCGACTGCGATAATAATTGTTATGTCCGACGTGCATGAAAGATTTACTAATTATAAGGCGGCCATGTGTCTGAGAATGTTTTTAAACGTTCGTTTGGACATGTTCTTCGATGCAACGACCTCGAAGTGGCGCCTCACGACATCATGCACCTCTACTTTCCACCCTTTTGTCACGCGATGCCTATCTTCCGTTCTCTTCTCAGAACATCTTCCGCTTTTGTTCTTTACTACAATCCTTTAGAAACCGTGTTTAAAAACATGTCCATCCGTTACTCGCCTTAATGAAAAGGTCGATTAGAAGAAAATGATTATAATAAGAGTTTCTTTATACACCTGTTAATTAATTTTTTGTTGCATTACTGAGGGTAAAAATAAACTTGTATGTCATACATAATATTGTCATTCTTTACATTGATTTATGAAAATATATTCTAACGTTCTTCAACCTTTTTCAATTTGCGGCACGTTAAATGACGAGTTAAATTTGTCGAGGTACATCATTAGCACACGTTTCAGCGCTCAATATAAATCTTTTATCAGATACGCTAACACAACATTTACACAATTATGCTTAAGTATATCTAAAAATTTAGTTAAATACAGATCTGAAAATAATTTGATCAGCTTATTAAAACAATTAGAATACTCAAACTAATTGTTAATGTCAAAATTTTTTGTAGTATTATTTAGTATGCTTGAAATTTTTATGTAATTATTTTGATAGTCCAACAAAATTATTTTCAGATTTATATAATCTAGCTTCCTTAACTTTTAGATACTTCAGTCAAATCGTTTTTTCTGTAAAAAAATAAAAAATAAAGTTTAAAAAATTTTTATTTTTATTTTAAAAGCGATTTTTTATTATAGTAATGAAAGATTGTTTTGGTTAAAATGCAAGTAGATACACAATATAATTTAAATAATTTTTACAATTTTAGAACATTTTTTACTTTGCGCTCTTTGCTTGGTTTTTTATTTAATTTTAAAATTTATTTTAGATGTAAATTTTTACTTATATCTAAAAAAAATACATTTTTATTTATTTCTAAAATTTTTCGCTTTTTACTTTCTCTAAAATTTTCGCAGCACATTTGGGATCCTTTGCAGCACATACCGGTTGAATAACCCTAATATAATATATTTTACTCTTATGAAGTCTCTCCGGCAATAAAAACGTATTGTGTGTTTGAGAATGAAATTTTCGCCTAGGCAAAATTATTTCAGAATTTGTTGGAGAATTAGCCAATTCAGACGAAATTGCTAAACTTTCGATGTTCTTTTGTGTATACGCTATCGAGAAACGAAGTACCGACCAGCGTAAGATTGCGCCGTTTAAGCGGATATGGACATCGAAAAGTCCACAATAGTATGAATTCCGTGCGCCATTTAGAGTATCATTAGGAAGGAAAGTAGTTTATTTGGATATAGGAGCGCCGATGGAATTGCTAGGAGTGCAGTCTCGTTCTGAATCGGGCGTAGTCAGCGTGACTGCTACATAGGCGAGCAGAGCGGATTTCGAGCTGCGCAATTCACCGTCGTCACCGTATACTCATGGCAGTAGCATAAACGGCCAACGTTGTAATAAACAGACCGGCGCGTTACGTGTAATATTTATCGCGCTGCCCGTTCATACATGCTGCGTAGACCGAATTTTATCGTCTCGTTGTGTTTGCTCTCTGGGAACACGTCTGATGTTATGAGTTTGCTACATTTATTGGAGCATTGCACATGGCACGATGACGCGAAGGTGAGCAGAGTGGAGTAGGGCGGAATATACTTCACATTCTAGGTCCACACTCTCTCGGAGCGTGATGCATTATTAGACGTGATAGATAATATTAGAAGCTAACGAAGATACGAAGAAAGAGATAGCTATACTGCGAAAAATTTCTCAAATCTAATATTTTGTTTAATAGTACTAAGAGTAAAACATTTTCTTAATATTAAACATTTACTAAACTTAAACACGTGTTATTTATTACTTTCTTTTTTGAATAAATATTTATTTGCAGTAAAGAAATGTTAACTTAATACTATTGAAGAAAGTATTATTTAGATTTAGGAATTTTTTTCAGTGTATACGTGTAAATAAAAATGTCAAAGTTATATAGCATAAATAAATATAGTTTAAATAATAAAATTCAAGAGTCAAGATTTATGAAAAATGTTGAATTTTTTTACACGAAGCAACGATTTACTCGTGAATTTTAAATGGCACAGAAATGTGTCATTCGCAACTCTGATGTTAACGAGTGAAATATGCGTCGGGAAAAACAAGCGCAGTCAATCAGTTCTCCCGTCGCAACGTTTCTTTCATTTCCACTTCATGAAATATCTATTAACACTAGACGTAGGCGGCGATAATAGACATCAATAGCACAGACAACCAATATCGTCACGCGTGAAACGCCGAGTTATTAAAGTTCGTGGCTTACGGTTAACCAGCCAGCCAATAAAGCTGACAACCACGATTATCTCAGCTGTATCGACAGTGATATGTTATTGATTCGTACTTATGCGAACCGACTTCGGAAGATAGATTGAGAGGATACGATATATTAATCTTAGTTCGATAATATCGTTAATATCGTCGTCAAATACAAATAAAAAATGATATTCCTATTTCATAAACGGTAAGATCCTTTTAAGAGTATAAAAAAGTCAATAACTCTGCGTGCAGGAGGAAAAATCGTAGAAATAAAAGCTTCCGCTTTGCTTTCACTTGAAATGAGTTTGTCGAACTTGTATCATTTACAGTTAATAAAATTACGTATAAAAGTAATGAAGATTAGTGAAAAAAGAAGTTAAAGAATAATTTACAATTTAATGAATTAATTTTTTTAGCTTTCAAAAATATAAAAAGATGCAAATTACGCTGGAAATGACAGTAGATTCTCCATATCGACATTTTTTCTGGAAAGTCGGAAACCAATTCGAAATCGAGCAAGACGATTTTCAAGCCGGCCTAGTCCGTTCTCGCACGCGTATGCAGACCGTATACCATAATACAACACCCGGGAGACCGCGACAAGGTTGCCATTAGTCGACGCATTATGTCCATATATTCGCTTCACACAGATATCTCGAGCGTATTGCGGAATTGTGCCAATGATCAAGCCCGCGTATGTACGCTGTTTCGGTGACAACGCGACTCACGCGATGCAGATTGCACGGTACGTGACTTGGCTTCCGCATTATTATTCGCTCTATGTTCCCATCTAAAGATATTTTAGGTTATAGACTCCGACCTACCTATAGGAGAACTCGAAGCATATGTATCCTATCGATGATGTAAGACTCCCACGTGGCCGTGGATGTTTCGAGTTCCACGACCAGATTGAGAATTAATGGCAATGAACTTTGCCATTAATTAGGAACCTTGCGGTGCTTCCTGGTTTACGATTCATACCCTCAGATTTTCATCTACTGTAGTTCAGAAAGCAGAAATACCAATGGCCTCTATTATTATCCTGCTATTTCCCGTTAGGGTCAATTCGAGCTACAAATAAATGGATATATCTTTACACGGATACACAAAAAATCAGTGTTGATTAATTCTCGTTTAATAATTGATTTAATAATTGATGCCTAACTTTATCGTAGAAATTATTGGAGTATTTTTATTGCAGTATGTTATACATACAGTATTTTATTACTCTGTTCCTCCGATTATTCTTAGATGAATTATTGCACATTTTTACGACAAATTCGACTGGGTCCACAATCTTGCTTTAAGAGGCCCTAAGCCGTAAAGCCATAAGAAATTGATCAATCATAGTTGAATGCGAGAAAAATAATCTCCTGTAGTCAATTTCTTACGGCTTTACGGCTTAGGGCCTCTTAAAACGACGTTGTGGACCCAACCTTAGGACGTCAGTTCTTTTACGTAATATTTTTCAATATATTTTTACCTTCAAACTGATATTGATGATAATGATAGCGAAAAGTTTTAATCATTTTGTTTACTTTGCCAATTAATTGTTGTGTCTTGAATACATATATTCAGATTCAAAAACAGATTTATAAAATATATGAAATGAGCTAACGAGTTAATAATGAATAATAATGAATTTTTCAGGTGACGGCGCTGGATGTGGTATTACTAATAGCGATGTAATAGAATGGATGGAAAGCGTGCAGAATTCTGCTGTACCGGATGAACCACCTAAAACGGTCCCACCGTCGAACCAGAAGGAGCCGAAACCAAATGTCGCACCCTGGAACGGGGACCGGGAGGCTCCTGGTCATAAATACAGTAGAGAAGCTAATGAACCTAGTCATCGCAGGCCACGAAGAGCGACTAGGTCGAAAGAAAACAACACCTGCTCGCTTTTCATACAAACGGATCCTCTTATATGGAGGCACATCTCCGAACAGGTACGCAAAATTTGTTTTGAGTCTACAGCTTCTAAATATATCGCAAATTCGCTGGAGAAATATCCTTTAAATTATTTTAGGCAATCTTTTTAGTATTAATTCTCAAAGTTACATTTATTTTTTATAATGCTCTTTTTCTTTCTTTTTAGTTGTATGCGAGAATATTATTCGAATGCAATTTATATTTGGGCTAGAATAAGAGATATTTTTTATCATTTCTCTTATATTTATAATTATATCTAAAAATTTGTTAAATATACGGAAAATTAGCATACTTAAATAAATTAAAAAATATTTTTTTCCACTTTTGTGGTGAATTTATCCTTTGAAATTAAAAATTCAATATTTTTTTCTAAATTCTTTTTTTAATTTATCAAGCGATAAAAAGAAATAACGCAGAAAATTGGCATTTATAATCATGTAAAAGAAGTAAAGGTAGGATATCAGATTGTTAGAACGACGAAATGACCCAATTCTCGCTGGCAATTTGTAACTAGAGAATTCCAGTATTTCCTTACACAATAGAGAAATGCCTCGAATACCAACTGTTCTCTTCCTATGGTCACATTCATATGCGTTTTCGTCGGCAGCACGGTCAGTGCAATTCCCTTTTGCATTTTCTCAACAAACCAGACACCATCCACATTCCAGTGTTCTTCGCAAAAAGAATATTCCTCGTGTGTCCTATGTTCTGGCTTTGATATCGCCGTACTCTTGCATAGAGCATATTTCACGGAAAGCAATTATAATGATTTGTTTAGACGAATTTTTTCGAGCTTCACTTTATAAAAATTTGTAAAGAGTTTTGCTTACAGAGATAATTAACGTTAAAATTTAGGAAAACACACAAAACTTTAATTTTAATAGATATGTACATATTTATATATAATTAAATGACCACGTCATAAGAAAAAAATTTTTGAAACTTAATTACAAGCTGTTTAATGTTAGAAATTAGAAACTTGTATATTGGAAATTTTGTCTATGGGTACATCAAGGGAAAAATTTTATCACAACACGTAAAATAAGAGATAGAACAATCTCGGACAGTTGTCACGTGGACAGTCAGAATTCATGTTTGTATATTTGCAGCTACATCATGACATGGAGAAAACCAGGGAAGAAATATTGTCCTTGATCGCACACCACGTCACCGCCGTGAATTATATCTACAGGGACACGAAATTTGATGGCAGGACGGAACACAGAAACATCAAGTTCGAGGTTCAACGAATAAAGGTAATGATAACGCGCCGAAAGTAGCACTCGTCGAAATGTGAATACCCGTTCACTAAACTGACACGCTTGCTATATCTGATAACAGATCGATGACGAAACGGCATGCTCGCCTCATCAATACGGCGAACCCAATCCCTTCTGTTTAGAGAACATCGACGTTAGCAATTTCCTCAATCTTCATTCTCTTTCGAATCATGAGGACTTCTGTCTCGCCTACGTTTTTACTTACAGGTAAGTGGAATAACAAAACAATACGCTGTATTTCGTATCCTTTTGAGGCTGCTTCGTAAACATTATTTCTATGTCGACAGGGATTTCACCGGCGGTACACTTGGGCTCGCCTGGGTTGCTTCCGCGTCCGGCGCGTCCGGCGGTATCTGTGAGAAATTCAAGACTTATACCGAGACTGTGTCCGGTCTATATCAATCCACTAAGAGATCCCTCAATACCGGTATCATAACTTTCGTGAATTACAATAGCCGTGTTCCGCCTAAAGTATCGCAACTAACTCTGGCGCATGAGATAGGTCATAACTTCGGATCACCGGTAAGCCAGCAAAAGAAAGGTTTCTAGTAGACATATGTGTTTAAATTGTCCGGAGCGCAGAGATAACGATCACCTTTTTTTCCAGCATGATTTTCCGCCGGAATGCAGACCGGGAGGCTTGGACGGTAATTACATTATGTTCGCCTCGGCGACGAGCGGAAATCGACCGAACAATAGCAAGTTTTCAAAGTGCAGCATTGGCAATATCAGCAACGTCCTAGATGCTATCGAGGATAATAAGAAGAGGAACTGTTTCACTGGTATTTTTACATTAAATTTTCCCTTCACGCTACAGCAATCTTCAGAACAGACTAAACGGGCAATAGAAAGAAATGTTGCTTTCAATAATTCTATTTATCTGACAAAATGTATCGCATTTATTATTTACAGGAGCGTTTTGCGGGAATAAAATTGTCGAGGCTGGCGAGGAGTGTGATTGCGGATACGATGACGACGAGTGTGTGGACAAATGCTGCTATCCTAGACAGGTGTCTGAGCTGGATAAGATTAAGAATGACACGGCGAAAGGTTGCAGTAGAAAATACGGGACACAATGCAGGTATTGTGATACGTGCAAGCAAAATGCGGCTGGATACGACAGTGCCCCGATTCATTTCCTCATGAATGTAATTATGCGTTTGCAGTCCTAGTCAAGGACCCTGCTGTTCGAGTGAAACGTGCCAGTTTGTGCCCCTCTCTCATCGAATCCAATGTAGAGCCGAATCAGACTGTAGTTACAATTCTACATGCAGTGGGAGGTCCTCCGAATGCCCAGCGCCGCTACCGAAAGCCAACAAGACTAGATGCAATGAGGGCACTCAAGTAATCACGCTCTGTTATTCTGTGAATTGTACGATTTAGCCAACCATCGACGCTGATTTCAACGTTATTTACAGTTATGCATCAATGGGGAGTGCACAGGATCTATTTGTCTGGAATGGAATCTGACGGAGTGCTTTTTAACAAGCAGCATCATACCGAACATTGATAAGCGAAAACTGTGCGAATTAGCCTGTCAAAATGGAACTGATGCATCAACGTGTCGTGGAACAAGCGAGTTTGCGCACATGGTGGGATTGCCCGAGGGTGGAATGAGCCTTAGACCTGGTTCACCTTGCGATAATTTTCAGGTAAATTATTAACCTTTATGTATACATTATGACGAAATGAAGTATATAGTATACACGTATTATTAATTTTTTGAAGTTACATGTTTATAAAAGTTTTCTTCTTTAGGGTTACTGCGATGTTTTCTTAAAATGCCGAGCTGTCGATACGGAAGGACCACTTGCGAGATTGAAAAACTTGTTGTTTAATAAAGAAACGTTATCGTCGGTAGCACAATGGATAACTGTGAGCATTTCTTGTAATTCTTATCTTTATATTATCTATTTTTTAACGTTGTTTATTTGCTTCAGGAATTTTGGTGGGCGGTACTATTAATGGGTATAGCTTTCATCATATTTATGGGACTATTTATCAAGTGTTGCGCCGTGCACATTCCTTCCACTAATCCTAAAAAGCCGCCTGCTAGGCGCATCAGTGATACATTAACGAGACCGATGAATACTCTTAGAAGAATGGTAAGAACATATAAATTATGTTTACATACAAAAGTTTGCTTGTATCATTGTTTGAAGTAAGAGATATTTCATCTTGTTCGCATGTTTTATCGTTTGTCATTTTTATAGCGACATCCACATAGTGGTGGTGGAGCTGGGCCAAGGAGTATACCTCCAAGATCAAATCAAGGTGGTCATTCAACGCGTTGTCCCGCTCATGGATATGGAGAGGGAAGAGGTGCTCAATATTATCCAAAAGGTGAATTAGCATTAAGTCTCATTTACACATTTCTCGTTGCTTGAGTTTAGTTCCTATGCTTAAGAGCACCAATCAGCATTGCATACATCGTAAAAATACTCTAGTGTGAAAGAAAGGATTGCTAATGCGGATTAAACTCAAGCTAACGTTGTTCGCGTTTTCTTGTCCTTGTGTGACCCGCAACTACATCAATGTCTTTTCCTGTTTGCATCTTCCTCGCATTGACGCATTTGACGCGCATCTATGACTACCTGATCTATGACTATCGTTCTATGATCTGCAGAGGTGAGCCTGGGGCCTATATTCTTACGCTTAATAGGAGCAAATTCATGAATGTCAGTATCATTGTCGCATAATGTAAAATATAGCTTTAAACCCATTACTATTTAGAAAAGTATAAATATTCATGAAATTCTTGTATTTGCTCCTAGCTCATTGTTCATGGCATTGCATTGGATGCTAGCAAAATACTTTTTCTTTCCCATTCATATGTCGAAGCCGAACTCCTTCTTTCTCATTTTGCATCATCGACTGATTGATTCTGAATCATGCCTTTTCAGAGAATAATATTATTAGCTATATTAAGTATATATTAAATAGCAAGATAGAAATAGCACGCGAAGGATATGCAGAAAGAGTGGAGATCACGGCAACTGTTTCTCTATTGTCGTATTTTATTTGGCTGTTATACACGTGGCAGCAATCCTCTATCCCCGCATACCCGCGGTGTTATTTTTGGTTACGCGTTTCATTTCATTGCCGAACATTTTTCTAAACTTTAAGCAGGCTATCGCTCGGTTCCCACAGCTAGTGCGCCACCAAGTAGTGGGTCAGCAGACAATTACGGCCGTTCCAATCACCCAGAACTGTATGCCGGCGCCTATTCGGGTTCCGGGGGAGGGGGGAGGAACGCAGCATATGAGATGAGGCATCACAACAAGGTGTGACGATCCTAGGACATCATCACGAACGAGGACCACCAATCGCTGCGTTGCACCACGAGCCGTTGTGTAGAATGATTGCCAAATGCGAAGAGGACCGGATCCACTCTCCACATAAAGGATGCAACGATGTCTCTTAACCGAGGTCGAAGCAATAATGGCAAGCTGCAGTTACAACGATCGAACAGATTGAGAGGTCCAGCGATATGCTCTTTGACTTGAATTGCATAGAATTCACATAAAGAGTCGCGCTTAGATACAAAGAAAGTATGTATCGATGATCAAATCGATCTCTCATTTTGTATCGGTTTGGTAGGTGTAATTTCGTGGAAATGAACGAACGACGACTCGGAAGATTTAACCGAAGCCACGATGATGAAGTAATGGAGTATATAGTGAAAATCGTGAGCATCGAGAATTTTATATATGTAATCTTTTTTATGTAGCACCAATACAGTCTTTCGCGTCGCCGTTTAAAGAAAACTCGTCGTATGATCAAATTTTAGAATGGCTTCGCCAGTGAAGGTGATATTGTTATATGATCAAAGTAATTTAAATCGATCCAACGTGTGATTCATTTCGCTTTAGTGATTAACGCTGCATTCGCAAAGCGACAAACGCGGCGATGTTAAGAAAAAACGTCATTGCCATTACGAAGATTTAAAGCCAAGATCGTACAGTCTTTGTGTGACGGCGTCCTTCGAGATGTCGATACTCGTGCATGTCGCTCTCGAAAGTTAGATTAAGTGGAGAATCTCCAAAATCCTGTTTGTTAGAGATTAAACACAAAATTTAGTGGGAAATTGGCAATAAGACAATATGTATGTTCATGGTAAACAATGCTTACCTATGTGTTTTCCAAGGACAACTGTTGTGTTCTTATTCTGCTTATCGAGTAGGGGAGAATGGGGCAACGCGGTATAGCGGGTAATACGGCGCATTATTATTGTAGCAATTTGCACTAGCCGATACTTCGTATATTAATGTTATTTAATGCAATTATGTTTAACTAAGATGTATACAAAATTTCAGAACAATTCACTTTTTTTTTTATTTTTATCGACTAAAAGTTAGTTTGATATACTTTTCTTGTAAGATTGTACTTCAAATACATGCATATAATTTCGTTTCTTCTAATAAGCTTTATGTATGTACATTAATAATTGAACAAGAGAAACATCACTTTCTTGTTGAAATTTTTTAACTAAAATTCGATACAAAATCAAAAAACGGTATCAATTCCAATGATCTTTTAATATATAGGAACCATAGTGCGCCACATTACACGAGATGCGCTGGGTAATACGACGCAAATGAATTTTTTTTTATAAAACCATAATTTCATATAATACGAGATGAAAATGTTATTAAATCTGTAATATAGTGATAGACGAGATGTTCAACTTTAATTTTACCCTATCTTTTTTTGCGTTTAAAACGTTTCTTATAGTAAATATTCTACTTTTCCGTAAGTGCACCGTATTTCCTCATTCTCCCCTATAAAGTGAAAAATCTCTAATTAGATTAAAATGTCGATAAACAATTTTATTTTATTTTAAAACTTGATACAATAAATTCTTGTAATATTGGCAAGAAAATTAACTGTCGTTATAAAGTATTACCATACATACGCTGTTTTTTTTTTTTCATCTACAATTTCAACAACTAAAATATTTTTTAAATGGCTTTCTGGAGCGAAATGGCACCTTACCATTACCAAACCACATCACAGGTCATTTACTTGATCTCTGTACCATTGTAAAATAATAATTAACGATATGTATTATTCTTATATTAATTTGTATTAGCCAATTTTTGAAGCGAAGTTATGCGAGATTACGAAGGATATAAGAGCAGCAACAACAAAATGATGCGTTTCTATAGCGATATTCCATTAACTATTATACATGAATGAAGATGATATTATTATTAAGCTATGCTGATATTATTATTAATTAGTTATATCTTGCAGTTGATAATTTATCTCCGCCTATATTGCGAATGTTATAAGTTATATTTAATTAAAATCGAGTTTTATATAACATGCTATATTAAGTCGGGGCTGCACCGTAAACACGCAGTTATGCGTATAGCGGACCAAAGATGAGCCCTCTTATCGAAATGTACGAACATGTTATATTATATTATATATATACATGGGCTCACACATGTACACAGCTGCATACTCGTAAGCGAGAAACACGAGATCGGTTCTTATCCTCGAAGTGAATCGTATTTGGTGCTGTCAAACCATTGTCGATACGATTAATGCACTTCCCTTTTCTGAAACGCCAAATCTGACAAATGACTGAATTCTTTTTCGCTCTTTTATCGACGTCTTTGTGCAACAGGTAATAAACATCGAGATCGATGTCCACTCCTGTTCACAATATATTCCATTTATAACGAATAATAACAAGCATAAGTGACATTTAAATTAGTGATAATTAATCGAAACAAATCATCTCAGAGAAAAGCTGTGTGTTAGAGATTAAAAATTTTTTTATGCAATCGAGTTTTATGATTTATTTTTATCCCAATATATTTTATCGTATATTCCATATTTTTAATATTTTAATCTAACAATCGAATTTTTGTAAAGTAAGATTAAAAAACTGATCAACGTTTCGTAAACTTTTTTATAATTATTACATAGAACCGTTCATATAGTAGAACACTTATTTTTAAACTTCAATATCCACATATTATTTTTGTAAATTTTAATTATTTTTGTAATTTTAAGCAAAACGAGACTGTTCCAAAATTTGGCATTTAGTTTTCATGTAGAAATTCGTAGAATTTAACAGGAACGCATTTTTAAATATCGATTGGTGTAATTGATATATCTCTATGTCTACCCGCAATTGAATTACAACCCTCTGCGTTGTAACTTTAAGACTGTGTTTTATCTAGGCGGAAAGTTGAATAATAGGGATGCAGGATTGAAACGAGGAGGTGCCAGTAAAGACGCTATCATACGAGTTTGCGGATCGTGTGGAAATGTACAATAGACGCAATGTGATTATTAGATGGATCATACGAGGTTTTGTGAGGAAAAGAATAAGTGAGAGGAATTACGAGAAAATGAGATGGAAAGTAAAAAGTTCTTTGGGCGTGCGAGGAAATATTTGAGTGAGAGACCGCGAAAGAGATAGATCGCGAGCGTGTATATCTGTGTAAATATATTGATATATTATAAAATGATTATATAACCATAACAGATGGTAAAGCGAATACAAAAAATACTTGTTTTTATATCAGATCTGTATTATAGCGAAATATTATTCTGTATTTTGTAATCAGAACGGAAGTTTAGGGATGACGTGCGAGTGTCTGTACATGCGTGTAATCGAGCATCTAAGTTCTAAGTATGAGTTTTTTTGACGATTCATCGTGGATGAGACTGGAGGAATCGTACGATCAACATTATTTAGGAAATTTCGAGATTTCTTACGTATAGGTGCAAAAAATTCCGTTTGACCCCATTCACAGCCGCTCATAATATTATTATTAAATGATATAGTATGTTTTGATGCGAGCAACAATCCGTGACACTCAACGGATGAGATTTACTGCCAATGAACGTAGCCAGCTGCAATTCGAGTTTTTTCAATTAATTTTAATACATACGTTATAGTACATCGCTAGAAATGTTTTTCTGCCAATGTAAATGTTAATTACGGTCTTCTAATGTACGATAGTGTGAATGTTTTAGACAACCGTCAGATAAAGAAAACTTTTTATACGCTCTTTTTTGAATTTCATTTTACGCCGAAGATGAAAGAAGAGCTTTTCTGTATGTTAAAAAAAAATGCGGAATAATGTCGTTCGAAGAATCATCGAGAATCTCTGGGTAATCACTTCGTTCCAAGCCACTGCCATTTGACGAGCAATCTTGAGGTAGTTAGAACTTGCTTTCGGAACGAGCTGATATCCCGATCCAACGTTATTGGTGCGCGAACTACCTTTGCTTCCATTTCACTGCCACTAGCATTTCGAACGACTGAACTATTATGATCAAAAATTACAGGTACAAATTTGTACGCGACATAACGAGTATCCAAAGACAACAAAATAGATAACAATGTCTTGTTACGTTCCGAAAGCCTAAACTAAAGAGCGAGCGTGAAATGGGGTCAGGGTCTAGTTACTAGTTGACAATGAAGTCGCTTGCGCGTACGAAAGAATTAATATGAAATAAGGATAAATTCTCCTTTTCATCATTTGTCCCAGACCTCTAACTACATATGCTTAAGCTTAATTCGTTTCTGCGGCATCCGGATTAAGATGCGACTTTAATTCTCTCGTAATAACGAACTTCCTATACGGTTCATTGTAATAATACAATGTGTCACCGTCATGTATCACGTTGATAACGATAACGAAAGCGTAATCTTCAAGACTATACGCGATTGGCGTACCGTATACCGATCTTAATCCAGAACCGCATTACTGTGACGCGATGCACATACAACACACTACTCTATCACTTGTACATAATGTTAGAGAAGGAAAGAACAAAAAAAAATCGAAGATTATATTTTTTCTATCAATCCAAAAACGTGGTGACCTATCAACATCGTGCATCTGGGATTATTTAAGCATGTAATTACGTGCCCTTTGTACCAATCACTTCGCAAACGACGAATTGTTTTCTCCAGGAATCGTACGTTTTTATTTAAAGTGTTACTTGGATATCATTGAACACCAAGTAGCCCTTACGTTCGTGCCGTATCTCTATTTTTAGTCGGTGATGCGCTTTTAAGGTGTATCTCTTTATTATAAATTATAACCGAGCATGATACTGACCAATCGCTGAACGTAGCTTCAGACCACCACTCTCTCTTTTTCCCAAAATGTCTAGAATGCGGCGAGTGTTTTAAGGATATTATAAATAAAAGAATTATGATTGTGAAGAAATATCTCTTGTGTTATGTTAATGTGATTAAAAGAGACAAAACATTGTAAAGAATTAAATAAAGCATACATTTTACATTTACCCGCTTGTAATCTCTGGAACGATAAGGATTATGAAGATTACGAGAATCGTTGTTTTGTACATATAGTTTTATTTGTTATATAAACTATT